CGCTCGCGCTATCAAATCTAATCAATCGCTTGTCGAGCAAGCTCAAGTGTGGTGTCTTCGACTGCATTTAGTCGTATCTTCTTCTACACGAATCCATAACATTGATCTGCAGAGTTTCTCTTATTCCGATACTGTAGGTGCGGCAGCCAGAGCGGAGATAATAATCCACACAGCATGGACGGTGGCAAGATAATGGAGCTGGGGCTTCCTCCATTAAAATCTCTGGAGCAGATGTTTGATGACTGCATTAAGAGCTTCCAAGACAGAGGCTATCTGTGATGGCAATCCTGTTCTGTGAGCAGATACCAAAATAATCTGAAACTCGGATCAAATAATGGAAGCCATTTCCACATGTTTGGAAGCTCACTTCTTTGACGTTTCGCAGGAGGACATTCACTAATTTAGGGTGGCATTTGATGCGGTCTTTTACCTTAAATTTCTATGATTAGCCTCTTTGCTTATTGTATGTAGGTCTGCGTTCACCCCCTCCCTCCATATCCTCCGTACACCACCGCCCAAACTGCCCCACGATGCCAAGCTCGGACATGAACGCCAACATGAAACTCGGCTGGCCACCGCCCATCTTTACTGCGGTTGAACAACAAAGCAACCCGAATTCGCTCCATCCTGTACTCATATATGAGGTACAAAAAAACCTTGGTTTTGTGGTGCCTGACCTCAGTTCTGATGCACGTGACCTCAGATTTGAGGCCGGCGTGGCCTTAGATCGGAGGTTGAGGTCGCGGGGTCATAAAATTTGAGTAGACCCGTCAAACGGGTAGATTGGGTCGGGTCAAGAATGATCCGACTCAAATTAACCCATTTACATGCAATGCAACCAAACTTAATCCGATTCAGGCTCCCAAACTTAGCAATTTTTCTTCTTAAATTGTGGCTCGTGAAAAATGGACGACTCCGTAGATAGGCTTGCCGACTTGGTGAGGGATCATAACAAACTCGACCCAAACCTGACCCGCATGCATCCCTACACAACATAACTCATGTGCTTCTTCTTCGTCACCGTCGTCATCATCGTCTTGCGTTGCTCTTCATTCTTGTCTCTTATTCACCCTCAAAGCCCCCTACAAAACTCTCTCCTCCCCGCCACCAATGTCTACCATCACCAACCTCCTCAATTGAGTACTCTAAAATCTTAAGAATTTTTTTTTTGAAAATCCATTATGATTATGTATAGTGAAAAAAGATTAATAAACGAATGAAAAAGGCACAAGGAATTGAACTCGAGATATCTGCCTCCAGTATTAGTTTGAAATCAAGTACGCAATCATTTGCTCTTAAAGGGTTAAGCTCTTAAAAGGCAGCGCAAAATATATTTATATTTTAATAATGTATTTATCTATTACATTCATTTTCATTGTTATAGATGTGGCAGATGAGTGCGTACCGAGCTCTCTCATCAAGTTTAGGAGTTTTGACGGCATTTTGTTTTTTCTAGATCAAAATAAATGATATTTCCCAAATTCAACTAGATGTATCAAAGATATATTGTTCTAAATTCTTTATCCCGGGAGAAAGCAAAAAAATGAATAAAGTAAGAAATCTGTTTTCCTACAAGTGTATTTTGTAATGAACAATTGAGAATAGCAAAATATAAATTCAATGTTTTCGGATTTTTCAAAGACGACATCAAATGCTCAATTCCAAGTTGCATGAGCTTTGCTCGTGAGCGGGGCAACTAGGATACCGCATGATAATCATTCTGGTTCTGTCCAGAACTGATTTTTTATTCCCAGAATCAGTTTTGAACCAGAAACCCGTTTGTTAACGCAATTTCATTTTTCTATTTCTGGGACAAGTTTTTGTTCCAGAACCGATTTTGAACCAGAAATCAGAACAAAAAAAAAGTTGGTTTTCTATTTCTAGACCAAAAATGAGAATCATTTTTTAGAGAACTCTTTCTTTAAAACACATGTTCATCTGGAAGTCACGATCTTTGAGGTGGGAAAAAAAAGCAAAAAATCAAAAATTTCAAAACTTCACATAATGGTTTAAAATCTGTGGCTACCCACTTTGAGCAAAATTTAAATTTTTTTAGGTGCCGAAAAAAATAAAAAAAAGTCAAAAAATCAAAAATTTCAAAATTTCACAAAATGGTTTAGAATACCTATGGCCACCCACTTTGAGCGAAATTTAATTTTTTTTAGATGCCAAAAAAATAAAAAATAATCAAAAAATCTAAAATTTAAAATTTAAAAACTTCACAGAATATCTTAGAATACATGTGGCCACCCAATTTGAGCGAAATTTAATTTTTTTTAGATACCGAAAAAAATTAAAAAAAGCAAAAAATAAAAAATAAAAAATTTCACAGAATGGCTTAGAATACCTGTGGCCATCCACTTTGAGCGAAATTTTAATTTTTTTATGTGTCGAAAAAAATAAAAAAATAAAAAATTTCAAAACTTTACAGAATGGCTTAGAATACCTGTGGCCACCCACTTTGAACGAAATTTAATTTTTTTTAGATGCCAAAAAAATAAAAATAAGCAAAAAAGAAAAAATTTCAAAACTTCACAGAATTGCTTAAAATACATGTGGCCACCCATTTTGAGCGAAATTTTATTTTTTTAGGTGCCTAAAAAAATAAAAAATAAAAAGTAAAAAATTAAAAATTTTAAAACTTCACATAATGGCTTAGAATACCTGTGGCCATCCACTTTGAGCAAAATTTAAATTTTTTTAGGTGCCGAAAAAAATAAAAAATAAAAAATTTCAAAAATTCACAGAATTGCTTAGAATACCTATGGCCACCCACTTTGAGCGAAATTTAATTTTTTTATGTGCCGAAAAAAATAAAAATAAGCAAAAAAACAAAAATTTCAAAACTTCACAGAATGGCTTAGAATACCTGTGGCTACCAACTTTAAATGAAATTTTATTTTTTTTAGGTTCCGAAAAAAAGAAAAAAAATCAAAAATTTCAAAACTTCACATAATGGCTTTGAATACATGTGGCCATTTACTTTGAGTGAAATTTAATTTTTTTTAGGTGCTGAAAAAAATTTAAAAATCAAAAATACCATTTGGGCACCTAAAAAAATTAAATCGCACTCAAAGTGGGTGGTTAGAGACATTCTAAGTCATTCTATGAAGTTTTAAAATTTTTGATTTTTTTATGTTTTTATTTTTTTTTCGGCACCTAAAAAAATTTAAATTTCACTCAAAGTGGGTGGCCACAGATATTCTAAGTCATTCTATGAAGTTTTGAAATTTTTGATTTTTTGCTTTTTTTTTCACCTCAAAAAATTAAAATTTCACTCAAAGTGGGTGGCCACAGGTATTTTAAGCTATTCTGTAAAGTTTTGAAATTTTTTAGTTTTTGAATTTTTTTAGGCACCTTAAAAAATTTAAATTTCACTCAAAGTGGGTGACCACATGTATTCTAAACTATTCTGTGAATTTTTGAAATTTTTGAAATTTTTGATTTTTTGATTTTTTTTGGGCACTTAAAAAAATTTAAGTTTCACTAAAAGTGGGTGGCCACAGGTATTTTAAGTCATTCTATGAAGTTTTGAAATTTTTTATTTTTTGATTTTTTTTGAAAAAATTCAACAAATTTCCTATTTTCTAGAAAAATCTGAATTTTTTTTATTTTTTGGAAATTGTGATGAATTTTTCTAGAATTTTTCAATTTTTTTGGATTTTTTGAATTTTTTTGAGATTTTTAGGAATTTTTTGGATTTTCTAATTATTTTTATCCCATTTTTAAAAAAAATGGATTTTTTTTCCTGGAAATAGAATTTTGTGTTGTTTATCAAACGAGTTTTTGTTTCAGGAAATAGAAATTTTGTGCTGTTATCAAACGGGTTTCTGTTCCAGAAATAGAAATTTTTTGTTATTATCAAACGGGTTTCTTTTCTCAGAAACTCATCCTGGAACCAGAAATAGAAAAATCTATTTCTATTTCAGGAACTCATTCCGGAACAGAATGGTTATCATTCGCTACCTAGGTGCTTTGGCAAATAGGCAAAACAAGAAACTCGACTCTGCAACCACCGGTTCGTACAATGTATAGTTTGGCAGGTTGTAAGTGGGTTAAACTTCAGACCCATTAAGAACCCATATTTAGTTGGGCTATGGCTATACTACTTTAGGCCCATAACAATCGATTTGTTTAAAACTCAACCCACTAAATATAAGTTAGAAAATTGGCCTTTAACATATTTTGAAACTTCTAGGTGTAAGGTTGCGCACCTTACTTAGGCACGGCCCTAGATCAAAGAGAAAAGTTTGAGGACTAATAAAATTCAAAAAACAACATTGAATGTCGAGCAAAAAGTTAACTACCAACCACTTTATTGTCCCTTTAAAATTTTTGAAAAGAAATAATACTTGTGATAACAAAAGAGGACTAAGTCCAAGAAGTGAATTCTTTTGAATCCTCTCAATCGCATCATAATTAGGAATTACATATTCAAAGAAGGTTCTGAGATTTACAAATAGACTAAGAATACCAGTTATGATCGACTGTCGAGCACTCGGGAAAAAAAAAACACTCTCGAAAGAGCTATGAGAGTTTTTACTAAAACCACGCGCTAATTATAAACGAAAATTTTTCTTAACCATCTCTTTCACACCAGAGAGAATCAAGATTTTGACGGGGAAATATATGAAAATTCACATGGAGTAGGGAATTTTGTATCGACTCGGGTTCATGTTAGACCAACCGATGTATGTAATTAGATTTTTTAAACCCATGTGGCACTCGCCAATTCGATGTTGTCATCAGACTCATCACTGAATCCACATGAAACATGAGATGATATTTTAATTGCCTTACTGAGGAATTATAAAGTCCATCTCAGAAAATCGTGGCATTGTTTAGAGTGATTATAAGGTGGAATAGAACGGATTACTTTTCCCCGCTTCATTTTTTTATTCGGAAGTATCCCGTGAAATCGGTGAAGCACCTAACCTTTCCCAACCCATGCGTTAATCATTCGACAAGTGCATATGGACTCTGACATCGTTTCATTGGAATTTAGCCGGCTAACGAGAAATATTTTGATAGATTAATGCAGCTTCTGAAGGCACGATGTGAACCACTTTTGGTAGATCCATGAAACGTGAAGCAGAGTGTAACCCATTCAACTTCCGATAGAGAGATGCATTCTTTGGCGACGCCTCAGCCTCAGAGTAACCCATTCCATACATAGGCTGTAGCTACAGGGGCAGTCGAACCACACGTTCCCCTGCTTTTGCTCTGTTTCTGCCTCCGTGATTGTTTCTCAGAGAGAGAGAGAGAGAGAGAGAGAGATGCCAGAGTACTGCGTGACCGGAGGAACAGGGTTCATCGCGGGGCATCTGGTGAAGTCCCTGCTCGAGAATGGGCACACCGTTCGGGCCACGGTCAGAGACCCTGGTGAGGAAATCAACAAGTAGTCTAGTTTGTCTCTTTCACTGTTTTCTCACAAAGAAAAGAGGAGGCAAACTTTTTATTGTGTTGCTCTGTCTTTGTTTTGGGGCAACCAGGGGATGAGGGCAAGGTTGGGCATCTAAAGGAGTTCAAGGGAGCGAAAGAGAGGCTGAGGATAATGAAAGCGGATCTGATGGTGGAAGGAAGCTTCGACGAGGCCGTTTATGGCGTTGATGGCGTCTTCCACACCGCCTCCCCAGTTATCGTCCCTTATGATGACAACGTCCAGGTAAAATCTTGGTACCGCTGGTCGGCTTCTGTTTACTTTAGTAATAAGTAAACTGTGCCTGATTCTGATGCAATATAAGATATTGATTATTGTGATTTGAGGATGTTCTCGTCGTGAGCGAGTATAGAAGATTGAACATCATTCAGTATTAGATTGCGAAAGAAGAGATTGTCGTATAAAATATTCTCGAGGGCAGTGCTGCCATGTCGATTTCAAAAATCAAGTTGAATATGCACCTAGTAATGGTGGACCAAGTAATCTGAGCAGTTGAATACGTGAGATCCACTGAATCCAATGGTTCTAATTTCTGGTGGACTGACTCTAGTTAAGATTTTCATCGAATAGTGCAGTGCCGAAGAACGAAGTGATGTGTTTTTATGACAGATAAGGTGTGACTATTTAAGCTACCCTTGAGGAGTGTGGTTGTGTTGTTGGTCCTCTGATCGAATTTAAGCACGACTACTTTCCGTTAGAATCCAAATGCACATTGTAATACTGGCCAAACTTTAACATGTTTTTCCGACTCCTTTGGATGATTCTTGGCGTGCAATTTCAGGCAAATTTGATTGATCCATGTATAAAGGGCACGGTGAACGTGCTCAAATCCTGTTCGAGAGCGAGTAGCGTGAAGAGGGTCGTTCATACCTCTTCCTGCTCTGCAATAAGATACCGAGACGATGTTCAGCAGGTTTCGCCCTTCAACGAATCGCACTGGAGCGATACCGAGTACTGTACACGCCACAATGTGAGATCTGACTGCACCGGGTTCTCTAATCAGAAACTCTACATTACTGAGTACTGACGCTGTTGTTGCTTCTCTTGGTGCAGCTTTGGTATGCATATGCGAAAACCATTGCAGAGACGGAAGCGTGGAAATTGGCAGAACAAAATGGGATTGATCTTGTGGTGGTGAATCCGGCTTTTGTGGTCGGTCCATTGCTCACTCCGCAACCGACGAGCACACTGCTTTTGACACTTGCCATTGTGAAAGGTTAGTTTCACCATCACCAGTGTCACACCAACCACAGGACTTCCCTGATCTGATTCGCAAACTGTCCTACCTCAGTTAAGCAATTCATATCGGCATTAATATGTCATCAAGTTGCCACATCCATTAGTTCAGCGCCTCAAAATGTTGTGCTGGAGTACGTCAATTCTGATGCACTGCTTGTTAATTAGTACCCTGTTTGAATAACTTTAAAACCTGATCAAATTGTATTGTTAGAAGTACTTTTCTTTCTTTCATTGGGGAGGAAAAATTAAGTCTCTAGGAGCTCTCACCAGGTTCACGAGGCGAGTACCCCAACACGACAGTCGGGTTCGTGCACGTCCATGACGTGGTTGCTGCGCACGTCTTGGCTATGGAGGATAAGAGAGCCTCGGGCAGGCTGATATGTTCAAGCTCGGTGGCTCACTGGTCTCAAATCATTGAGACGCTCAGGACCAAGTATCCACAATACCCCTTTGAGAACAAGTGAGTATCAAAACAAAGGCCGCGATCGCTTTGCTCTACTTCCCTAACCATCACCATGTGCCTCTTCCGAGAACTCAATGTTCCAACCCGTGCCATCAAATCGATTCAACCACAAGTCGAGCACGTCCAGGCGTTGCGTCTTTCACTGCATTCAGCTGTATCTACTACATGAATCCATAACCATTAACCTGCACGAGCTTTTCTTCTTTTCCCAAATTTGTAGGTGCAGCAGCCAGAGGGGAGATAATAATCCACATAGCGTGGACTGTGGCAAGATAACGGAGCTGGGGCTTCCTCCATTAAAGTCTGTGCAGCAGATGTTTGATGACTTCGTGAAGAGCTTCCAAGACAGAGGATATCTGTGAAGGCAATCCTGTTTTCAGAGCAGAGATCATGTATTCCTCTGAAACTAAGACTGTCTTGATCAGCATGAATGTTGATGGAAGTTGTTTTCTAAATAATGGAAGCCATTTACAATGCTATATCTTTTTTCATGGTTAATTTTAGAGGAAAGCCAGCATAACGGTGCGGTAAGTCTTCAATATGAAAAAGATTACCACTAAGTGAGATTCCTCGGACATGAAGAAAGAATAAACGGCATAAGGATACAGATGATTCTAAAGCAAATTAAATATCGAAAATATAGAAAAAAAATATTCTCATTAGCTCAAACGATATCCTTAATGCCATTGGAAATATCGATTAAATTTCAAAGACATGCGAGATACACACTTTCCTACTTTTTTGAGTTCTTAATCTGTTTTTTTTTTTGTATTGAACCCTTCGTAAATCATTTAATATTTAGATATCGTTAGATTTATTTCTTTAAATAATATGGGAAAATCAATTCATCATCCTCCGAAACGAGAGTTTTCAATTCTAATTTCGTCAAGGGGTACCGGTTAAACGGATCGAGCCGCTTTCTAGGGAAACTAGAGGCGCAGAATTGACCGTTTCGATACGAAGTCACAGCACCGTTGTCTCATCATTTTCCATTTGACTAATATTATTTCTCCCATGCAAAGGGTAGGTAGTCAAGCACATGTTTGGGAGCTCACTTCCTTGACGGTCACTAAGTCAGGGTGCATTTGATGAGGCCTTCACCTTAAATTTCCATGTTGACTTTTTGTACTGTTGAAGGTTGAAATTCTAACGTGTGTTGAGTATATTGGATACATCAGATCTTTAAAAAAAGAAATACTGCTAAAAATACTAATCTACCGTCAGCATTACCCATATATTAGTATATCTGAAGGCATCTAATTTTAAAAGTTTGAGATGATTTTTTTGATTCATTCTAACAAGGAAGTCAAAGTTGATCTGCGAGCGCTTTTGAAGTGGCTCTCACTAGCTGCATTTTACAGTGTTCCTGAACCGGGTGAGCACTAAGCACGCAAACGCAATGAGCGAACCTCGGGAGGTGGCGCATGTAGAGGAAGCTTTTGTAGCTCTTTCTCTCTTCTCTGTCCAATGAGCACGAACATCATTGGAACTTGACGATGTCTGGGTTATTTAGAATGCTGGGTCGCCATGAACGTGATCGAAAGCGACTCCTTGAATCGAAGTGCTGCGGAATCAGGTCTTGTTAGGTTCTGGGGGATGGAGAGGGAAGAACTCCATTTGCTTTTGCCTGTTTGGTGAGCATTCGGGCGTTAGGGAAAAACGCGAATACTTTTGACTTTTGAGAGTGTGTGTGTCGGTTTTGGAAGAGAAATTGGTCACGGAACTTCAGGTGTCTCGTCAATCTCGCTCTCTCTCTCTCTCTCTCTCTCTCTCTCTCTCTCTTCCTTCGATCTAAGGTCCTAGACCTCTAGTAACTTCGCCTTGATCGTGATTATTAAAATCTAATATCCACAAAAGCATTTCCCCTGCTGATTCGTTTGCGATAGAGTTGGTGACTTACATTACTCTATTTCAAGGGCTAAAGTTTTATCTGATGTGTTCTTGTTCTTCCCTTTGCGGCAGTTCATGGGCTCTTTCGCTATTTAAATGAAAGAAAAGGGCGTTTGAGCTTTTGAACAAGATGCTTTCTATCTTTTATAAGGAATTTTTTTAAAAACTATATATATCTCATAACAGCATCATCATCTATACCAATCACACCTCACAATTATTTCTAAGGAATTGTTTAACCGGGTCATCTTCATCTTAAATATATATTGTCAGATAAACTAGTAAATCACATATTCAGCAACTAGATCCTTATCATATAGGGACGCAAGATTATAGATAGAGGTCACAAACAACCATGTTGAACAAAGATAAGTAACCTGGAGACTCAATCTGGATCAATACTGGGTAATTTACAAGGTAATACTCGGTCAGGAGTTTATCTAGCAGCGAGACGAAATTCCAACGACAAATAACCGTGATCACTCATATCGAAAAGACAGAATTACAAGCAATCGTTCAAAAGCACCACGGAGCATGACATAGATCAAAATTCTCCGGTGACTTTTGCTGTACGAAATAGGATTAACATGTACTCTAATGCTCCATTCGCGCGGAGAACATTATTTCCACGACCACATGAGCAATTAGACTATTCACGAGATGACTAGACCTCAACTACAAGCGTCAACATCTCTCCACGTTTAGCACCTGGCAACTTTCGTTTCCCTCCGCGAAAAATCAATCAATCAATCGAGGAATAGTTTTAACTTAATTGGACGACACCAATACCATAAAGGAACAAATCTTCAATCGAGTAGTGGGGGCCGATGACTCCATTGATGAACGACGCAAGAGAGCTCTCTCGCTCCCAATCCCTATCCCTTCGACCACACTCCAACGGGTGGGGCAGACCCCAGCAGCCCCCGGCGGCGCGAGCGGCACGTGCAGGCGCGCAGCGACGACGTGCCGAGTCGCTCCCCCCGACACTCCGTCGTCTTCCTTGGTTTCTCGCTCAGCCTTCGGTCGCAAGATTTCCGTCTTTTAATGATGAGTGAGTCGGGCGGGAATTCTGGGGCCATGGAATGGATGGGGGGGGGGGGGGGGGGTCTTGGGGGCCCCTCCCTCCGGATGCTTCGATGATTGGTCGGTAGTTGTTGTTTCTCTCGGGCTGGAAATGGAGGACAGCTAAGCTCAAAAGGGGGTACCTACTCTTCTTGCTCCCCCCCCCCCCCTCTCTCCCCGACCCGATGACTACCCCTCCTCCTTTTCCCCGCCTCGTCATAGGATAGGCTTTCCAAGTGGAGAAAACGAAATGCAGAGTAACGCTAACGTGGAAAATTGGAAGAGAAAATGCTCGTGAGGAATCGACGAAAAGAGGATTCTGGCCCGAACCCCACGACACGGTACGGAACATCTGCCCACCCTCTTCGAGGAGGAGGAGGAGGATGCAAGAGAGAAAAACCCAGCTGTCTCGTGGCTTCTTCCTCTGCCCATGCTTTTACCGCTCGCTGGCCACACAAACAGCGCATAGGATAAGCAAGTGGTCGATGGATGCTGAATGTAGTGTGTGCCTGTTTTTCTCGGAAGAATTTTTCGTGTTTGATGGGCCAATTAACTGCTCAGTAAGCTACGCCGAAACTTTCGTAATTCTGAACGAACGAACGAACATCGCACTATCTGTAGCAGTTTCCATACGACGTGGATTTTGCATTAGCAGGTCGCCACTTTTCTCACCCGTGACATTAATATCCTAACCAGTTCGCAAAGCTTCATGGCGGTGACCTTAAATTGTTGGACGCGAGTACAATTTTCTCAGATTTTTGCTATGTACGAACTACATGAACTAGCAGCTGACGTTCGCCATTAAACCATTTTCTTCTCCTCTTTGGTCGATTAGAAAAACCATCGACCATCAAGCAGGCACCGACTCCGGAAACGTGCTTTGTCCTTCCCTCTCACATGATAGTTGAAATCCAATGAAGCACTCTCACGTGAGGAGCGCGAGCCCAGAAACACCTGCTCTCGAATAATTAAATGCCTACTTCCGTAACAAGAAGAAACTGAATACTCTATTTATGAAAGGAATCATCAATATTAAGAAATTTAGGCACAAGATCTCCAATTTCATAAGCCAATCTTGATTCAGACAACCACTCAAGTATTTCGGTCTCTACCAAGAATCATTTGATATTCGGAACCATACATGTTAGAGAGTAACCCCAGGGTCAGCAGCTGTCTCAAAGTTTTGACAAACCTAGAGCAATTCCAGGACATGAAACATTGAAAACCGAATCGCATCACGCAAACCAAACTAAAAGACCAAACACTCGAAATGATTAACCAAACAAAAGTTTTTCCATCTCAAATTACCCATGATCGGACAATAAATATAGAGAGCAAAACAGAACGTGTGCGAGTAGGAGATTGAGTCGTCTTCTCTCAGATCTCAGGACATTGCAGAACACACTCTCAAGGGAAGAAAATGAATAAACCCCTTTTGGACGGCTCAAATAGCACAAGAAAACCCAAAAAGGATTCTCCCCCAACTCAATCAATCCCTACTCACACACCATCTCTCTAGTTACAAACGAATAAATTGAACTCCCAATGACAAAACCACTCTCTCAAGAACTCAATTCCCAGTTCTCGAGACTGTACTCGCTAATAAAATAGATAATATGCTTCATTGACAATACTACTACTACTAATACTACTAGTAATACTTCTATAGCTGCAAAACTTATGGGCATGCAATATTAAGGGGTGGTGGCTCCTCAATCCAATGGCCAAAGTCATCATTCTCGAGCTCGAAATCGAAATCCGGGAGCTCGCTCGACTGGTTCTCGTCGAATCCGAACAAGGGTATATCATCAAAGTCGAAGAAATCATTCATGAGACCCCCGAAGTCTTCGTTGAACAGCGATTCAAACTCCTTCCCGAGGTCAAGATCCTTGACAGCTTCATCATCCAGCAACAACAATGGCTCCTCCTCCACGAGTTCCAAGCAGGGTTTCTCCAAGATCTCCTCATTGGCATCAGCAATGGCTTCTTTGGTCGAGTTAGATGCGGAAGTGTCCAGATCGAGGACCGAAGCCGGAGAAGTGTGCGACAGGACGCTCTCTGAGTCCTCAGAAGTGGATGGCCTGTTGTGCGAGTGCGAGAAGGATGCGTCTTCCACCTTAGCAGCCGAACCAGCTGCTGCCAGAGCCTCGAATTCAAGCCTCTTGTTCTCGTAGGCCTCCGCAGCTTCCTCGGGCGTCTTGTATGTTCCAAGCCAAATCCGGGACCCCCGGTGAAACGGGTCACGAATCTCGGCAGCCCAGCTCCCCCACTTTCTCTGCCGGACGCCCTTGTAAGGCGAATTAGATGGCCTTCTCTTCGTGCCCGCCTCGGCTGTCGGCGAGACCCTCTTCCTCTTTTCGGGGTTTTTGAAGCCGTTGTTGCTGTCCTGGCAAGAGCTCTCAGTTTGAAGGTCACCGGCACGGTGGGAAGAGAAGATGGGGAGATTGATTTCTCGAACGAAAAGCTTGGCATCACCTTTCTGGTAGTTCGATTCGTCTTCGCTTGACGAATCGTCCGTCGCTTCAGGATCTTTACAGAAAACCCGGACCTTCCTCACCATCTTGGAGTCTGCGCTGAACCTTGGCATCGTCTTCTTCGGTTTCTTGAAGAGACTCTTGTGGTCTAGAGGCTGAATCACAGGCTCTGGCATTCTTCTGTGACCGCAAAACCCTCACCAAAAACCCCCCCTCAACGATGCCCTCAAACGCAAATTAAATATCCTCAAGAGAAAATTATAAAGAACTGAAAAGGGCCAAGAAGTGGGCAAATCGGTGCGAGAGCAAGAGACGATTTCAGGTAAGACCCCCTCTCAAGAACAGGAAGAGATTGGAAAATCGCTTTATGTGAAAACCCCCAAAGCACTCGACGCCAGAACAAGTCCTGCAAAAACCCCACCAAAAACCCAACACATAAATTTCAGATTCGATGCGATTGAGCACGAAATCCACAGAAAAACACCCGACAGAGCGATACGAGGAAGAAAAAGAAAAAGGGGGGGGGCGCAAACCCACTGACCTTTTTGGCCTCAAACGCATCGAAGCAGACGAAGAACCCAGATTTGACCTCAGCATGAAGCAGAGAGCACCGGACGCGGAAGAGCAAGGAGCAGATGCCAGAGAAGACGGTGATTGCGAAAGAGAAGACGAAACGGACGCGACCCAGAGCCGCAACAGAGACCCAATCACTGCCAATCCAAAACCCACCAACATAAATCCTCCTCTTCGCTCGGCCTCACCGCTCCTCCTCTCTCTCTCTCTCTCTCTCTCTCTCTCTCTCTCGCAGTGGCTCACTGTTCCTCAAGCAAAGAGAGAGACGGGGCTAAAAATCAAGAAGATCGTAGCAGATGCAGCTACTGAGATATATAGCAAAAGGGGTAAGAGGGAGAAAAAAGAGGCCAGAGGAAGTCCCCCCGGAAGATGAGGAATCTACGGCCGAGATTTTCTCTTTCGAATTCGACGGGAAAACGAGATCGGTTCAAGAGTGCACATCGGCTTCCCAGGGCCGGCTATATAGGCCCTCGGAACAGAGAGTAAAAACGACCGGCCTTTGATTTTGTTTTTCTCCTTGCCCCTTTTCTCCCTCTGTTTTTCACCTTTTTACCAGAAAATGTCGCAACCCAAAATTCAAAAAAGAAGAAACCACAAATCTCCATAACAAACAATCTCAGCAAGCACAAAAAAAATTATCAACTAGATAAACCTCGAAATCGTCACTAAAAAAGTAAATATTAAATATTAAAAAATTAATACCTCCCACCGAGAAGGTGTCTCTCTCTCTCTCTCTCGCGTCTCTATCGTCGCTGCGGCCGCTCTTCCCGAAAGTCCTCCTCCTCCTCCTCCAATTTCAACTTTCGCCGGGCGGTCAAAATGCCATATTAAGTTATTAAATAAGGCCCTTTTATAATATATATATATATATTTTTTTTCCGAAAACAGAATATATGGCCGGGGCCAATTAATTAATTGACCCTTTTTGTATTTCTTTTCAATATTTGGCAAGAAAAATCCACTACTAGCTGTCGAAATTCATTGCCATGTGGGGACAAAAAGTACGCCCGCATCCCCTTCCCCAGATGCGCATGACTCATCATGCCCCCGGCGGCACGACATCATGCGCATTGCGGATGCCGAATTCGCGCGACGCGCGCGAGCGGGGGCGCGTGCGGACCAGATGCGGCCGAGGCCCCCCCCCGCCGTCCCACCGGCCGCGGTCCGGTCGGGCCGAGCCGCTCCGGTGCGGCGCGGGGCCGGCACGCGCCCCGCGAGGAGATCCGAGGGAGGCGGTCGCCGCGGGACGGGCCCGATTGGGCGAGAAGGGCATTATTACGGCTGCGGCCCCTACGAAAGTGGGACCCGTCTTGCGCGCTATTTACGGTCGTGCCACTGATGCTCGTGCTCTCCCTCTCTCTCTCTCGAAAAGGAAATTGCCCTTGAGTGACTAGTGACGTGTACCGCTTTCTAATTTTGTTTTTTTTTTTTACCGGCTAAATAGATATCATTTAAAATCTTCACAACCGAACAAAGATATTATTATTATTTCGACAAAAAAAAAAGAAAAAACAGAGATATTATTTATTTGCTATCTGGCTAAAAAAGGGAGAGATTGATTATATTTTCCACATTTTCCCGAATTCCAAAAAATGGCGATAGCGATGGTGGGGCGTCACAAATTTAATTCCAAAGCTAGCATATGCAGTTTCGATTTATTTCTTCTTTTTTTCTTGGTATTGTTCGATTTGTTTCTTTATTTTTCCTGTACTGATGCATCTACCTATTAAGGAAGGTCAATAATGTTATTGCCCCTCGACTTGATATCAGTTGCCGTATTTAGCAAATTTTCAGGGTTTCTTTTTTTAATCAAAGTATTGGAAGCGTGACCGGATGAATAATAATTACCGATTGGATTCGAGAACCATGAATCGAATTGAGAAATTATGCCTTCGTCGCATGGAAAAGTTAATTGTCGTCTGTAAACTCGATTTACTTTATTATTATACATCACCTAAAACACTGGCAATGATTACCTTAAAAGCATGTTCGGATTGATTGTACACGTGCGCACATAACCTACAAGTAGTGGTACGGTCAAAAGTAGAGTATACACGGAGTCATGACTTATGGCATAGTTAGAGTTTAGATCAAGGCACTCAGAGCAATTGAGGGGACAATTCTATAACTCCTAGTCTACCATTAGCAAAGATGCGCCCGAATGGAAAAGTTGGAGAATGAATTATCTAAGCCCCTTTGATTTTAAAATATTCATGGCCATCCTTTTAGTGTTAGAGATTCATTTCTTTTTTTTGAATTGCGATTCCATATCTCATTTTGATGTTACGCCGTGATATATAATCCCCAGAGCTCTTGTAAAATTTATTAGAAAATCTTCAAATTGGCAAAGTATCTTTCGAGTTTGTTTTATCCTACCGAGAAATTGATAATGTTTGTTGGTGTATCCACAAAACAAGGTGCCAGATGGAACGATGCAAAGTTGCCAACTTGCACGGCGAACATAGGATTTCCCATATCGCAACGTGTTGATTTCTTTTGTTTGGGTTATCAATTGCAAATTTTAGCTCTTGTCTTATATCGTATCCGAAGTTCACCCACTGGCTAGGCTTCCTTATCATAAATAAATAAAAAAAATTTAAGCACGGAGGTATATCGACGAAGCAAATTGCACCGTATTTAAATTACTCGCTTGGTCCATGATAAACCTCGTCATGAAATTGAGCAAAGTTCCAATTAAATTCAACGCAACACGCCGGCAAGGTAAGCTCAATCCTCTTGCGGTTATCGATTACTTTTGACTTATTCTTGTGGATTATAACTTTTTCTTCTATATCTAAAAATAAAAATAAAAAAAGATACGGATAGTATTCATGTAAAAGATGGACAATTACAATAAAATGCATAAATTTTATTTATCAACATACGCATTTAATCAAAGTCTTGAAATTTTAAGTTTTCTTTCAAGCACGTTTAGCCATCAAGTCACGCCTTATCCTGATGCAAGAATTTAAAACCTTCGTCACTCTCGCTTGGAGAAAAGATGGCACGATTGTGATCCCGTCAAATGCATACCTACTCGCTTCCCGCCATAGTGAAAAGCGAATTAAATTTGACAGCATTACACAAGCCTTTTGCCAGTTATTCAAAGTTTTTTTTTTTTTTTTCGAAACAATCATTCAAGGTTCTAAAGTTCTTTTCCGTAGGAGGAAAAATTGCGAAAGACGCTTTACAGGACGCCCTTTTTCCAAAAGCCTTGTCGGAGTAGAAATTTTTCTCAAAACACCCGCTAAGCAAATCGCCGCGTGCCACTTAACCCCCGGCTCGCTACCGGCGGCGAAAACCCACAGTCCGAGGCGTACGTGATTGCCACACGCCGATTCCCGGCCGATAGCCAAGGGCGATTTTGTCCGGAGGAAACGATTATTTCGAGCCAAAATTGCCCTTGCCCAAACCCGAAGGTTGGAGCTCGTCCGTGGAGGGGTCGGTTCGGAATCTGGTACTTCTTTTTTTTTGGAGGGTATTTCAAGGAAATTACCATTTAATATGTCCCTAAAGAAATCGTGTTGAATTTTTTTATTTTAAATTGTGTAGAATCGAGAGGGGTATATAATTTTGCCTTTCGGTAGACATCCATCTACGCTCGCTTCGTTCCAAAGATACCGCCGCTTATCGCATTATAATACTCGTTGCTGGCCTTATATAATTTACTTCACCATTTTTCCTAATACTTTCCTATTTATTAATTCCTTCATTATAATACACGAAAAAATGGGCCCAATTCCCTAAAAAAAACCCAACTTTAGCCTTTGTCCCAATTATAGCCCAAACTTTTTTTTGTCTCATAAAAAACCCCAAACTTTTAACTCTGTCCCAAATCTACCCAGTTAACTTTTCGTCCAATTTTTTAATATTACTTTTTATTTTTTCTTTCCTTTTTTTTTTTTCTTTCACCTTCTGGCCGGCAGGGCCGAGCCTCGCCATGGCTCGGCCACGCCGGCCGCTGGCGAGGCCGACCTCGCCAATAGCCGGCGAGGCCGACCTCGCCAGTTGCCGGCGGGGCCGACCTCGCCACAGCCGGCGTGGCCGAGTTCTCGCCAGACCGCGAGGCTCGGCTCCCGCCTAAGAATCGGGCGAGGTCGGCCTCGCCCAACAACAAAGAAGGTCGGCCGAGGCCGAACCTCGCCGTTGCCGGGCGAGGCCGACTGCTAGCTATTCTTAGGCGGGGGCCGAGCCTCGCCGGATGCGGGCGAGAACTCGGCCACGCCGGCCCCCGCTTCTGGCCGGTCGCCCGACCGGCCAGAAGGTGAAACAAAAAAAAAAGAAAAGGAAAGGAAAAAGAAAAGAAAAGAAAAGGAAAGGAAAAAGAAAAGAAAAGAAAAGAAAAAATAAAAATAAAAAATTGGACGAAAAGTTAACTGGGTAGATTTGAGACAAAAGTAAAAGTTTGGAGTTTTTTATGAGACAAAAAAAGTTTGAGATATAATTGGGATAAAGGCTAAAATTGGGAGTTTTTTAGGGAATTGGACTCGAAAAAATGGGGCTTTTCTTTTCTTTTTTTCCTCCGTCGGGACAAAAGCCTGCGGCACGTGACCGTGTCTGCATGGGGATGGGCAAAATCCGGAGATCCGACGGTCCGCAACACTCGATCCCCACCCCTGCCAACCTCGTCCCGACCGTACCCACTCGCGCTTTCGCACACGGGAAAAGTCCACCATGTCGAGCCACGCCTCCTCTCACGGATTCCTGTCCGATTTAAATATTTTGGGATGAATTCCCTGATAAACCCCAAACATTAGGTCAAGTTTTAAATCCATCATAAACTTTTTTTTATCTCAGAAAAAATCTTCAAACTTTACGTTCAGTCCTAAATTTACCCCGAATTTTATTTTATATAAAAGAAAATCAGCTAATTTCAATTTATTTTAAAAAATATACCCCCGTGATCCAATACCAACTTAATGTGGCACTTTCACGTCGTAACAAATCCACATCAACAAAGTAATGGGGCGATAGGTACGGACCGACGTCGCATTTCCACTTCGATAATAAATCAAACCAAATAAAAATTGTTGACATTTTCCAAAATAAAATAGAATATGAAAGTTAGGGACGATAATAAATCCACCCCAAATTTTTTTTTAATTTAAAAAAAACCTAATTTTTAGTATCAGTCCAAATTTGCTCAGAACTTTTCTTTGTCTAAAAAAAGCCCCATTACTTTATTGATGTGGATTTATTATCGATGTGAAAGTGCCACGTCAAGTTGAGACTGGATCACCGATATATATTTTCGAAAATAAATTGAATTTTGGTGATTTCTTTTACATAAAACAAAATTCGAAGCAGATTTGGGACTGGACTCATAGTTTGGGGTTTTTTTTTAGACAAAAAAAAAGTTTAAGGTAAATTTGAGACTGAATCTAAATTTTGGTATTCTTTCTGAGATAAAAAAAATTCGAGATGGATTTAAGGCTTGGCCTAAAATTTAAGATTTTTTTTGGGAATTACGCCATTCTGTCCCCCCAAAGTATTTAAAGCCCGTCACGTGACGCCCGTGACATGGTCCCTCGTCCGTACATCCACATCCATCCCATCCATCCCATCCATACATGGAATGAATCATCATGATGCCATGCATGGATCACGTGGACCATTTCGGGTCACGTCGGCGTTTGTCTTTATTGCCTCCCCCCTTTGACTAAACTAATTCGAATCGTATTTGACGATGGCGAGCTGTCAAAGCCTAGATTCTCTTGCCGGCCTGTGCGCAATCAAAGAAGCATCTTACTAACATTTTACAGTTTTTCGAAAACCGACTCGATTTGACTGATTAGAAGACGTAGCTTACACAAATTCGACCAAATTTTCCGTTCGAGCCCGACACGGGCGCCTACAAAGCTAATCAATCGCTCGGCTCAATACGAATGACCATGTCCGATACAATTAATCGAAAAGCAAACGTGAATTTCTATCGATTTTAGGGAAATTACGCATTCGTGGAGGATTAAGACAAGCCCCTTTTTTTTTCCTACTTTTTTTGCCCGGAGAAATACATGCCATAGCCATAGCCATAGCCATCCCAAAAAAAAAGGGAAAAAGGCACAGGCCTGCTCGCTCCATGCTCGGTTTGACTCCAGATGGGAAAAAAGGGTGGGAGGCCAAGTTCGTTACGCAATCTCGTGATGTATGCAGCGGAGGAGGAGGAGGACCGCCAAAGATCGCTTCGGTTTCCCGCCAATGACGCCGGCGTGGGGGCCCACCTCGCCCCCCCTCCTGTCGTCTTGGCGTCAAAAAGGACGGAGGGAGGGAGGGGGGCGTGGGGCCCCCCCGCCTCCTCGGTGAACTCGAAGGGGGGCGAGGGACGACAAGCGGCCCGCCTCGGCGACACGTGTACGGCGCCCGTTGGGGGGTCGATCACTCGATGATGACGAGGAGTGTGGGGGGGGGGACCATGCGCGAAACGATTCGAGGATCGGCGTTGTTGGAGCCCGGTGGTGGTTAGGTAATTGCAGCGAAAGTGCCGGCCTGACAACGACCGTTGGGGCTGGGTTGGGGGCAGCGACATTTTTTGTTTTTGCCTTTTTGACAGAATCGCCCATCGCAGACCTTGGATAAATTTCAGCAAATTAATTGGGTGTGGTTCGTACTCTCCCGCAACTACACCGATCAAATGGGTGGATCAGGTCAGATTTGAGTCAGGTCATAAATGGTCCGGCCCAAATTGATCAATTAACCCGTTTATGAGGCAATGCAATTTTATTGATCCATACTCGATCCATAATGCTAAAAACACTTCTACATTTAATTAAATCTAGGAAAACTCGTACCCAAATTGAGATGAGAGTGCGGAGTGAGTGAGGGCGAGATTGAGTGAGGAGAAAAGAGGTGAATTGAGTTTAAATAAATTATAAATCCATTTATGACCCATTTAACATCCATATTATACTTATACCTATTTATGACTCATCTACTAAATATAATTAACCTATTTACTAATACATGGGTTAAGAAATAGGTTTATGACCTATTTTGATATGTCTACCCGTGACATAAAGGCACAGGGATATCGCTCTCCGGTGAACGGGCAGGGACCCGAGAGGCCAGCCCTGCAAGGGTTGGAGGGGGCAGCGGCCCCGTGAAGTGAAAAGGCTTTTTCAGTTTGGGTTTAGATCCACGACTAACTATTGTTATATATAACTGTTTTCTCTTATAATTGGGAGATGTAATAGGAAGCTGCGATGTGCTATTAAGGGTGAATTAGGGATAAAACATTGTGTGCCGATTTCTCTTTCTCGCTCTTATTTTTTTATTTTTTTGCGATTATGCGCCGAATCTTAACACAAATAACAGGTATTTAAGGAGTAAATTATTATAATTTAGAAAATAATTAAACTATCCACTTTAAAAAAAAAAAAACGATGATAGTCAGACTCATCATCACTGAGACCCATATAAAACCCTATACGCCCTATAGGAAGTTTCATTTACGGTATCTAAAATTTTTTCCGGAAATTTGCAGTGCGCTGCGTCAGATGAGGTGGACCGTGCAGGGAGTGTACTGTGGACAGCGCATCGAGCCCAGTACGCGCGCGGGCTGTAAGAGCCCAGCTCTTTCGGGACGATGGATGGGACGAGGAGTTTGTGTCGGTACCTTTGCTCGGCTCGCTGGCTCCCAATTCGATCTCTCTCGCTCCGTTCGCATCTAGCTCCTTCGGGCATTGATGATGTCCTCCACCTTTGCCCTTCCCCCTCGCTCACCCAACCCTGAGGTTTCGTAGGGTGAACATTTTATGCTGTCGTCCTGCCCTATGAACGATGGTGCAATAATTACATGCTATCGGGCATGTTTCTCGCATCATCTTGGCTCTTGTGGGAGCGAACTAAGATCCAATATGATGTCGAATTTGGACCGATAGCATTCGAGTTTAACGGAATAGTCGAGAGTATCTACCCGCGAAACAACGAAGCCGACCCGGAAGAGTCCCGGGAGCATCGGGGCCCGTGTCCAAACCCGGGATCCGTTTCGACCGAGGTCCGTTTCCGAAGCAAAAAAGTGGACGAACATGGGTTATGATGATCTGAGATTTGGTGGAGGGGTAGTTAATGGGTTGGTGAGTAGGTAGTTGGGGATTTCCTTCCGACACGGAAATGCGGAGGGAATTAGTCCTATAGTTTAGTCCGGTTGGGACCCTCTCCCCTCTGCTTTTTCATTTGACTTCTCATCGATCTCTTTGTCCGAGAATTAGCAGAAGAGATCGAGAAGGATTCGCTTCTGCATTTTGTTTGCTTCCGGAGTCTCTCTGTCGACTGAGAGAGAGAGAGATATGGGAAAAGGAGAGAAAAGATGCGGTTCTTGTGGATCTGAATGGTTCGCAAATCAAACCTCCGCGGGTCTGCGTGGAGAATTCCTTGTGCGTGAAAGAAAGAGCCCAACCTGTGGTGGTGGACCTGGTGGTGATTTATCTAACCTAGTCAATTCCCAGACAATGATAGCCGACCAACCGATCTAGGACACGTTTGAGCGGCTTCGGGAACTACCGTGTAGCAGCACCTACGCTGATAAAAGCGCAACAATGCTTTAGCAGATCTTTCTTGGGGCATGGAAATTACCTACTCGAGCGCTCGATATGAAAAGAACATGTGTTTTTCGAGCAAAGGTGGTTTGATTCTAACTAGTAGCGATCGTGACGACGGTCGGTGAAACTGTTATCAAGAACGATATCTGTGGAAGATCGTCGGTGCAAGGGCGATGATGGCGTTGGTGGGGATTCCATTAGTTACACGCACGACTTTACGCTTTCACCGTACATTTGTTTTATCGATTGGATTGAAAACTATAAGGTAATAATTTGTCAAATTGAAAGGTAAATAACTGGGAAGTATCTATTCTTTGTTTCTTTTAGTTCGGCTGAGTGATCAGAGCAGTAGATTGACTTGTTCCAGCACTATAAAGATTAAGCAGATAAGGTTCAGTTTTTAGGGGCAAATTAGAACTATGAAGATTGATATCTTACTAGATTGCACTGTTGAGTCACGTTCGTGTTCAAATCAAATATGAGTTGGTAACTTATTTTCATGTCGGTATATCGGTGCCCTATTGCAAACCATTTCTTCCATGATTAAATTGGGAAAAAGTATTACATAGACTATAAGATTTCACTATGTTTGTGTTTATTGAGGTCCCGTGTGTATTGAAAAGTCTAGTCTAGGCAATATCTCTTGCACAGTTCATGCGCCGGAGAAACACGAGCCATAGAGTCTTCAGCCGAGAATGAGGTCCCGGATGATCGTTGATTTAGTTTCAATGCCTTGACCTGATGGATGGCAGACTCATTTTGGGCGCTTTGGGGATGAATCCATCCCAGAAATTATCCTCAGATCCTTGTTGGTTCATCGAAACCTCGCAGCCGGCGAAAGAAAAGCCGCTCGAGGACTGTATTGGCAAAAGAAAGCTCGTTTCGCAGCACACAGTAGTAGGATCAATCAGTGTCGAAAAGGCATGCAGGGTATCAGTGTGCACTTGCTCTAGCCAGAGTTGTCAAGTATATGTGCATCCACTACTCAGCAACATCATCATCAGCTTAACCCATCTGAAAAGCGATTGCAGAGAGCAAAATTGGAAGCAGAATACATCGTGAAAACGGTGCAACTTTTATTTCAAGCAAACAATGGAAAAGCTAAGACCCCGCTCTTTGGTCACATTTCTTTTTTTAACTCGAGTGGAAAAGGATGGGCAATCTCTCTTTGAACTCATCTCCTTTCCATGAACAACCAACAACAAAGTAAAAGTAGACTAATCGATCACGAATACAGGGTTATTCTGAAATCTCTTAACCTTTGGTTCCCATCTTCCATGACATGGCAAAGTTCTTCCCCAGAGGCAGCTTGAGCCCGCTGATCTCAACCATCATGCTCTTCGTTTCTTCAACACCAGAGACCGGCACCAAGAAGTTCTGTGGCGAGACGCTCATTTCCGCATTCTCTGTGGCGCTGTCACCGTCGATCTCAAGGTCGGATGCCCCAATCCCGTCCAATCCTAACACGGACACCTTCTGCATGATCCAACCATTCTGCAATGCGAACTGGCCCTCCTTCACTTCCGACCACACCTTGACCTTCCCCTTACTAATAGTCGCGTAAAAATCGACATATGTGGAAGACCCACCCCCTAGTTTCATCTCTGGAAGCTCATCATCATCGAGAAACAATTGGCCTTTCGCGTCCGCCTCCTGGGCTCCAGCTGGGAAAGTCACCACAAGGCTAAACGGCGTTCTTCTCGCTTCCTTGGATATCGTCCCACCTTGCTGCATTGGGAGGATCATGTTCTGATACACGTGAACATTCACCGCGTGCAATGGCGTATCGAGGGTGACATACTGCCCCTCTTTTGACAATATGGCCTGCGTCATATCAAACAAGCTGAACCATGTACCAGGAGGAAAGAGCGCCTTGACCTCTGTCTTGCCCTGCTCAAGCACGGGAGATACCATGACTCCACTACCGATCAAAAACTGGGTGCTCAAACCGTAAGTCTCCACAAAATTGGGGAATGAAAAGAAAAGAGGCCGTGTGATCGGGGCTCCCGTCACATGAGCTTCATAACTGAGAGTGTACAAGTAAGGTAGGAGCCTATATCTCATGCCAAGAGCATTCCTAGCAGATTCGGCTACCGATTCCCATTGATAAAGCTCCTGTCTCGGGGAATAGAAATTCGCATGGTCCCTTGAGAATGGGTAAAAGGCACCAACTTCGATCCACCGGTTGCAAAGCTCCTCAGTTGGGGCAGGGTAGAAGCCGCATATGTCCGAACCGACCATCGGCACTCCGAATATGCCAAAATTCAGCATAGTGGAGATGGAATACTTCAGATTCTCCCAAGTGCCTTGGTTATCTCCAGTCCAGTGAGCGACATACTTCCCGGAGCCCACGAAAGTTGAGCGCGACAATATGAAGGGTCTCTTTCCCTCAAGCCCTTCGAGTGCTTTGTGAGTTGCAATTGATTGTGAGAAGCCATATATACTGTGAGCATCATACTCCAATACACCATTGTAATGGACAGCACTTGTAGCTATGGTTTTAAAACCTATTGGTACTTGCAATCCCGAAGCATTTATCTTGTAAGGCGGATCGTCCCATCTGGTATCGGTAATATTCTTGCAGTCCAAGCAACAGATCCAGCCCGGCCCAGTCCCATTGGGGCATATCGTGTCCTTGGGGATCTTGCACTTCCCCGAGCAGAAATTGGAAACTTCATTCATGTCGATCCACAAGCCATCGACAGGGACAAGCTCGTGAAAGCGTCGGATTTCATCACCCCACCACTCTACAGTTTTTGGGTTAAGAAAGTCGGGGAAGTTAACAGCACCTGGCCAAACTTGAGCGATATAGGGCTCGCCGTCATGTTTGATGAAGACATCATTGGCCAAACCTCTTTGGTATACACCGTAGGTGGAGTTGATGCCGATTCCCGGATCAGTCATGACAACGTACTTCATGCCCATACTGTGGATCTTCTCCAGGAAAGCCAGAAGCTTTGGACGGGGATAATTGACAGGGTGCAAGGTGAAATCCTTCTTGCCGTCCATGTGATCATCGTCGTTCCAAATCACATCGAGCGGGATTTTAGCTTTCTGGTAGTTCGCAACCACATCTTCAACAACAGAAAGGTTATGATAGCCCCATCTACACTGATGAAACCCTGTAGAAACCAAAAGCAGAGAGACGGTAATTATATAGCTTTACACACGTATTTCCAGATCATCTATGGATATTATCTGAAAGCACAACATTTTGTACAGGTAACTGAGAGTATAAGCAATTAGGAAGGAGCATCAACGCCATCTCCTGCACTAGAAACTAAATCTAAACTTGAAGTGTTGCATTGATCAAGAAGAAATCATCTCCTAAACCAAACGCAACAGATCGCCAATAAGCAAAAAAAATAAATCACGAACGACTCATTTCGATCCAAGGGGAACTTTTCGTCGTGTGCTTTCCCTCTACATTATGAACTAAGATTTCAACGAAGTAATAAGGTGTTTGCCCATAACATTTTGCACTAAATTCCTCAGTCGTTATGTTGAACAACAATCTAGAAATATAATTTTGATATCACATCCGTAATTTCCCCCAAGATATTTAAAATCTGATCAAATAACATGCGCTAGTAGAGCATTGTGATAAGAATCTGATGGCCATGGTCCAGTCTTCACGTCTTGTTGGAAGGGCCACGTGAGAAAAGGACAAGAGAAGCACAAATTCAGGCCATGATTGCTTTCAGGGGTCCACCAGTTGGCCTACGTTTCCAAAGTTGTCTATGCAAAGGTCAAGATTTTAGGCTATCATAAAGTAAACAAATGAAAACAAGTGCCCAAACCAGCAAGTCATCATAAGATCCTTCATCTTTTTCGAGCGTCGCCTCATCTTTTATGCGGACCTACTGTTCATTTCGAGTACTGATCTGATTAAAAGATCGAGCATTGCCTGGTGATTGTTTACCAACATTTGTGCAATGAATAGAACAGATGAGACACATAAAGGACAGTGAAGTGGAAAGAGGACAATGGACCAACCAGACCAACCTACACTCGAAAATGAACAAAAGATAGCTCCACTTCAGACAAGTTGTAATTGAATTATCAACCAGGAGCAGCACTCGGGCGTCGTAACGTGCAACTCAGGTGGTCATTAAAAACCATCTCTTTAATGAAAATAAGGTACCTCCACATAAATCCTTCAGGAAGGACCCATAAACCATTTGCAGCTTGCACCAGTTCTGAACTTAGTCAATTCGACTCTGTGGACCGAAATGTACAAGTTCCTGCACCAGTATGATCTTACTCTAGGATGGATGCGATAATCACAAATCCTTTTATCCCGACCATCACACCTGTCTTGTATACTCTTTTGAGGGTTCCACCATATGCTAGTGAAATGTGATAGGTCCAACTATACATGTCGACAACGAGGGTGCCGAAATTATACCGAAAGAACGCATGCCGGCACTAAACGAACTACAGACTAAAAGCCGAATGCAAAAAAAAAACATCAACACGCCCAATTAAAATAATTCCTATCACCCTGTGAGTAACAAATATCACACCTAAACTTTCTTAATAAACCCATCAATCATGCAAGTAAAGTAGTCGATGGTTCCACATTCCAAGACCAATAAAAGAAACAATACAGTGACGTGAAACCGAGGTCCTCATGAGGTGAATAGCAAGAAACTGATGGTGGGGCAACACAGAACAATTCATACAATACATACCCCACAACAGCGAATTAATGATCCGCCACACCAACAAACCAATCCCGATGCAACGAGTACATTCGCTTCTTTTACAACCTTTTTTAATAGGTGATTATCTTAGTCTAATCGAGTCAAGACAACATCTCCCCTAAAATAAGACACAGATAGAGCGATTAGAATGAATTATTAAGCATGATGAATATGAAATGTCCGATTCCTAAAACATCCATTAGACATAAGACACTACAAGTTTAATATATTCAAGATATCTCTATTTAATTACTTAACAAGTGTCCAGTGCTATTGAGTAACCTTCGAAATGGTAAAAAAGTAAAAGCGACTCCTTTCCTGGTGAAAAAAGAACACAGAGCAAGTAAGCGATTCATACCAAAAGCCCAGTAGGGCATCGGAGCCGGCCGGCCGATGAACTGCGTGTACTGGTCGACGACGGCGAGAGGCGTCGGGCCGGCGAAGAAGTAGAAGTCGAACACCCCTCCGATCACCTTGTATGTCAGCGAGCTCCCTCTGTAGAACACGTCCATGCCGTTGCTGTTGAGCAACAGCACGCCGTGCGCGGAGGCCTTCCCGCCCACGTTCCTCAGGTCCATGTACACCGGGTGAGAGCCGTACAGGTCCGTGTTCAGGTTGATCGCCGACACGTCCGTCGTGTACAGCGTGTACGGGTCGTTCGGATACAGCTTGATCCCGTGGGGCTGCGTGTTCTCTCCCAGGCCGTACAAGGAGGCGTCCGTGGGCAGCTTCGTGGATATTTCGAGGTACTGGTCCTTGAAGACGAGGGCGCTGTACGGGTCGTAGTCGCCGGAGGCGGAGTTGAAGAGGGTCTGCCCGTCGGACTTCCTCTTGACGGCGAAGGTGAAGGGGTTGGAAGTGTAGCTGAAGATGAACTGGGTGCCGGAGTACTCGGAGGCGGCGACCGGGGGGCTCGTCTTCCGGGACCACGCGACGGCCGACGGGGGCGGCGGCGCCTCCCGGGGAAGGAGGTTGTAGGGGACCTCCCACCTCTGCTTCTCGGCGTCCGTGATGTGCACCCTCAGCCGGTCCTCCGTCTCGTGCCTGCGAAAGCCACAAAAAAAAAAAAAAATTCAATCACACATGCTCAGACACGGGAGCTCAGTTCAGTACTAGAAACGGGTCGTTTCTTGATGGTGAGGCGAAGCTAAAAAAATGAAGACTTTTTGATGGCGTACTTGACGAAGAGCTGCAAGTGGGGAATGTCGGGGCCGTAGATGGAGGACTTCTGGTTGAGCTGGAGGTGGCCGAGGAGGCCACCGTTGGGGGTTTCTTCGACGGAGACGAGGCGGTAGCCATTGCCGATCTTGGCCGCGGCGGAGGCGGAGCGAGCGCAGTGCGCGGGGGCAATGCAAAGGAGGAGGAGGAGGAGGAGGAGGGGGGTCGGGAACGGAAGGGGTAGCCGGAGAGAAGGCGACATTTGGGTGCTCCTGCTTCGAGACTGAACTGGGAAGAGTGAGCTTTTTTGGTTAGTGGGAAGAAGGCTAGACAAGGGTTTCGACCGGGGGGGTTTGTTGGAACTTAGAACTCTGAAGAGAGGGATTGGTTTTAATAGGAGCTTGAAGGGGTCAAGGCGAGACACATGGTGAGGTGGGTGAGTCCCATTCTTTGCCACAATGATGGTGGACGTATCCGGGTCCTCGAGGGACCCGTCTCTGATCTTTCTCTTTCTGCCCTTTCCACCAATGGATTATTGCAGAAACTATCTAAGCAAATTTCAAGAGTTTCCAAAGCCAGACGAATTTATCTTATCTTTTTATAGTCTCATCCTATCTGTCATTCAGATCAACACCAAGTAAGCAATTCTTGTACTCTTGGCAAATGTGTTCGAGAGTTTCCAAAGTTGACAAACTTATCCTATCTTTCTTTGTGGAGAGGATTTTATGTTTTCATGTATAAAGTCCGTAACTTAGGAAAGTTATCCAATTTTTCATGGATGAGGATCGCAAAGTTCATCTCCCACTGTTCTTTCTTTTGCCTGGTTGAGGGGGTGGTTTGGGAGTCAAAAAGATTGTCCTTTTTTTTTCCATCTCTGACTGTCATTTTCAATGGAAACTTAACTAATTTCGAGCAGAAGATGCCTTACTGGCAAATTAGCAATCGAGCTTGTTTCAGCAGATCTCGCGCCGACATGAACGTGTCGATAGAGATAAGCTATCATCACTCGTGCAAAAGTTTCTGTGTAAGAGTTACTCTTTTTTTAACGTTAATGAGAATTTGAAGGCAAATTTCAGTAGATTGTCTGTCCCCCGCCGAATTCAGTGGACATGTGCGGGTGTGTTAGCGTGATGTTAGGTCAAGTGACCAAAGTCGGACCGTGATTCAAGGAGTCTCGGTCCAAATCGCGTCTTCCTCCATATCGACCTTCTTACTCAGGTCAAGTCTACGGGACGGTCGTCCTCTTCGGACATCTCTCGTTAGCTCTCACGCCCACTGAAACAGTGAAAAGTCGAAAACGTCGTCGTCCCACGTCCTGCCTTGCAAATCCCATTGGGTTTCTGCAAAGATGCCGCGTTGCCCGGTGGTACTCTGTCTCGGTCCTCATCAAAAACCCAGCGAAAAAGAACGGAGCTTGCAAACCTAAAAACAAGAAAAATCATAGTTCAGCAGGTTGCCTCCACAAAGAGCCAGTCCCCATACGAATACCGGAACAACTTGGGATCTTGGTCTTTATCTCAACCGGAGCGGAAGAAGGAAGCAAAAAGAGAGGCAATGAGAGCCCGAGATCAGATAACGCAGAAACAGGGGACCTGCGTGGATGCCCGAGAAACCCAAGAACGAAGAAGCCTTTGAGAACGCATTATGAACGCTATGCGTATCTCTCTGTCAAATTGGCAGAGACGTGCCAATCCCGACCTCCGAGAGATGTACTGCGATAACTTTAATTCATTTTTGTCACGTACGAGAGAGAGAGAGAGAGAGAGAGAGGAGCAGGTAGCATGGCATTTGTCGCATAGAACACGGGTCTCTTGACCTTGCTTAGGATACGCGGTGGCCAGCATTTCCCTACTATTATCTTATGATTTTGGATTCCACCCAAAAAAAGGAAGATCTTTACGATCTTGGACACTGCCGAGTACTAAATCACTAGCATTGTTCTAGTCGAAAGGAAGGATTTGGTTCCATGTGGTGAGCGGTGAGCATAATCCAAAATTAAACTTAATGAGACGTGCTCGACAACAATTCCTCCGAGACCGCAATGGCAAGGGCAGAGCTAGGCTCGCATGTCCCACACAGAGAGAGAGAGAACAGAATCTTTGTGACCGTTGTGAGGGCGGTCATCAGAGGGGCGGCACTTGCGTCGAGTATCGAGTCGACGACAAGCAACGAGATGGCGACAGAGCTGGGATGGTGCAGCGGTGTGGCGAAAGGGCAAGAGGGGAGAGAACATAGTTGCTTGGTAATGGGGCGTTATCTCTTCTTCTTCTTTTTTGTGAAAAATTGCATTTTGGTACATTGAATGTGTTTTGAATGTTCCATTTCTTAACTATGCTTTTTCCAATTTTCGACACTTCAAAATCTGTTTTCTCAACAACTTTTATACTTTTTTCCCATTCTAATTTTCAGTTACTTAAACGCTGAAATTCCATGCCAGCATATGCTTACTAACATAAAATCGGATCAGTTAAATTCGATCATGGACATTGAACAAATTTGAAGACTCGGATTGTACAGCCAATCACGTGGGGCGCTTACCAAATCTTTTTCTCGGCAAAATCTGTCCACAGCAACAGAACTCCGCCGATGCACCTAGCGCAGAGAATCAAAACTGAGAAACGGGAAGAAAAGGAGCAAAGAAGAAGGAACTCTCTCCGCCACAAGAAAGACACAATATTATGCCTCGATTTGCCAACCTCCGACGCCAATGGTACCCTTTTCAATTTCAACAAACGACATCCGAGTCGAATAGAAAAAAAAAAGCCCAATCGCTGCACAAATTCAGAGCAACAGAGCTCAGGTGGGGGCAGCAGGAGGTGCTCTGTTCCTCGGCGAATGAAGAAAAACCTTATAAATTCTCTTTTCGTCGGAATGAGTAATTGAGATAAAGACCATTTGGATCCCAAGGCACATGCATCGTCCTTTACGTTCTCGATAGACTCCGATGTACACACCGGTCTGGAGTGACACTAGGGGGAGAAAGAGGCGGTAGAGTGCCGAGATGTCCACTTTGCTTTCATGGGTCCTCGCGAAAGATAACATAGAATAAAAACGCAAAGCGTACGTGGCGCATCTCTTGGTCCTCACCCCGTGGCGCGACGGGATTGGCTCGTGTCGATATCCGTTCAATCTTGGCTTAATTAATCGAACTCGTCGATTATGATTCGAGCCTCCAGAGCTCGGTCCCCGTGCCATGTGCGAATCCGGGAATTCCGTCGACTCCGTGTGTCGGGGCGATCTTTGAGCTACGCGATGGCGATGCTAAGATCGTGTTGATTGGGGTGGTCCGAAGTTGGCTTTTAGTTCGCATGCCACTACCGGCCGATGCATGACTTCGCTTTTGGAGCGAGGGAAAGAAATTCTTGAGATTGCGAACTCGTGATTTTTTCTAAATCGGATCGAATTTCAATTGGAATCCGCTTGATGCGAATACGAGGCAGCCGATGTAGGTGGGGGGACACGCAAGTCTAAAGCTGGTCCTTTTAAGCTGGCCTCGTCGTACCAAAAACCAAAAAGGAAATGCCATCAATCATCTTATCGTTGGCATTTTTTATGATTTGACAAGAAACTGTTCATATTTAAAGAGCACTTTTTTTGGTGATGTGATCTATAGAACGGACTTATCTTTTGTAGGGTTAATACTAAAAAAAAAAAAAAGTCTAAACTGTCACATAAATAATAAATTAATCATAAATTAACTTTTTTGATAATAAAATATTCAAAACTATTACATCTGCGATAAATTTATCCTTTATTAGTTTCCGTTAAATTTTACCGTTAAACAGCTGAGTTGAATGATACGTGGCAATTTATGAGTATATCGATTTGAGGTTTTTGGTGATTAAAAAATTAATTTGAGATAAATTTATCAAATAAAAAATTGTAAAACGATACTATTCGCACACAAAAACATGGGACCGGTAGGGGTGATCGGTTCCAGGGTGGGTTGGGTCCAGACCTGGAACCTGAAATCAATCCTGTTATAATCGGTTTCCAATTTTTGAAACCTGAAACCTACCCTGTTTTCCCTGGATCATGTTTTTTCGGTCCGGTTTCAGGGTCTACCCGAAGACCTGTTCTTTTACTTTTTCTTTTTCTGGTTTCATTTTTTTTCCAGCAAAATAATATAGGTAGCAATGAAACAATTAAAAGTAAAAGATGAATAACAAAAACAACTATTCGTCAAAAGTAACAATCCCCAAAATGAGCAATTGAAATTACAATCCATCGAAATCAATAATCCAAAAGCACTATGTGGCCATACATAGTCCAATCGCATAAATCTTTAAAAGTCACATTTCCAGGGGATCTGTTCAACATGTTTAGCACTTTATTTTGCGCCATGATGAGAGAACTCCTCACTTTTGTTTCCGAATGAAATATCCTGAAAGGAAAATCAAGAGACTTAGCAGTAAAGCATCTGCTCTCACTAGAGAAATGTCTATATATCTCATCTGAATCACACAATATTTAGATGATTTTAAGGGCCGTGCTGTTTCGCTCATGGTTGTGAAACAAATCCCAAAAATAAACCGGAAACCGGTTCTAAAACCAGTGAAGTAGGGTAACGTGATCTAGGATTTTTACTTTTTTTTTACATTATCTCAAAACCGGTTTGGGTCGGTTTGTACTAGGAACTGGAAACCGGACCGGTTCTAACTGGTTCCTAAAAAATGGAACCGGTTCCCGGCCCGGTTCTTATTAGAACCGGTTTCCGGCCCTGTTTTTCGAGTGGGCCGGTCCGGTTTCCGGGTAAATCCGGTCCGGTTGCACACTCCTAGGGACCGGTTCCACTGCGGTTTCTGCCAAAAGGTCTGTTCCAAAAATTAAAGGAAGAAGAAGGGGGCAAAAAACAGTGCGAAGAAGCTAATGAACAACGAAGAAGTACTTTTGCAGAGGCGTGTCCTGCCCGCGACGGACAGACATTATTGTGGAAAGTGGGGGGGGGACCGAGTGAATTATTCGAGTGCACGATGAAGCAGAAGAAGACGGAGGAGGTCCAATCCAACATACGAATCGCTCGATGGGGTTCTACGGGAGATAGAGATGGGCCGATCACGAGCACATGTCGGGGATGTTCAGGCTTCACCGGTAAGTAACTGGAACACATACACGGCACGGATTGTTGGTCCCTACCTCCGGTCGAGTCGTCGCGAAGCTAAACATTGCCGCCGGGTCGGAATCCGATGACGAGAAAGCCCGGACCGACGGGCCCAATTTATGCCCGGGTCAGATTTTATCACTCATGGCAGAGGCTTGGATTGGAGTTTGAAGGCTCGAAGCTCTGAGCCCGATCTTTCGTCTTCGGATCGACAATCCACTCCCGAGTAGAGCCCCATTCGAATGAGCGCACTGGAAGAAGAACGACACGCCGTTTCCATGGTTCTTGTCCACAAAATTCATCCAGCTCCCAACGCCCCTGGAAAGCCGCCCGCTTTATCGCCCCCATAGAAATGGTCCGTAATAACATGGGCTGTAAGGCTAGACCTGTCGAGGGAGACCGCCTTGCCAACCGTATTCAAATCGTGGGATGATCTGTAAATGAAGATCGAAAAGGTTCGTGTCTCTGAGTCCGTATGTTAAACGTCATGGATTAACTCATTGAGGTATTGTTCGCTTTGATCTGTCCCATTTTAAGTTTCACGATTTTGTCATTTGGCATATAGGTTGGCACTTTCTAGGAGATCACCCATCTTGGAAGTGCTTCTACCTGAGCACGCTTGACTTTGGAGTTCTAAAGTTAAGCATTGCTGTTGCGTAAAAAGGCAATTCCGTGAGTTAATTCTAACTTTTCACACACACACAAATGCATATATATTAGAATCGTACTCTCTCCTTGTACAGTGCACAGTTCGATTCATTCCTGTTCCCTTCGCAATCTTACAAGCCTGCCTTGAACTGCTTCTTGTCCAGGCCCTTTGGCCTCGCCCTCGTCGAATCGGGTCATTAGATATTATCCCCTGTAAATTGCCGTTTGTATCTCTTAGGGAAATGAGTCGATTGAAGTTATCTTATCATTGACAATAAATTATATCTGAATATTTCTTTTCATTCGTTTTTTGTAAGTGATACGAACGATTGCTTTTAAGAAATGATTTTTTTCTTCAAATACTTGATCCCCCACGAAACGAACGCACTGTAGCATCCGATGAGGACTTGCTACATTGAAATGTCTTGATACAAGCTAATCTTATTCGTTTTCTAATTGTAATTAAGAGTGTCTTTTATCCAGCGTAGCCAAATCCTATTCATCGACAAATTATTGGATGCTCTAGCAAGGGGAAGTGACGTGCACGTACCTAACACAAATTGCGGGGTGCCAAACTCTAGCAAACTGTACTTCTTTAAGTTAGGAATTCCACGACAATCAATATTACCATATGATTTGTTGATGGTCAACCACGTGATCTTCGGAGAGCGCATACAAATTTTCCATATTCGAGACGGAAGCATCTCTGCGCTTTTCCCAGCCTCCTTCCTTGGGTGGTGGTAATCACACTTATAAAGCGCCTAATTACATTTGTTGATAGACGATTAATTTTCGTTCGGAAAAAAAAAAAATGAAATTACCACACGCCCACATGTTGTAATGCATCCCGTCCCTAAAAAGAGTGGTAAGGAGCGATCGATGCTAGCAATCCTCTTTAAGTATGACCGTAGAAAGATCCGTACTAGCCGGTCATCTTGTGTAGGCAGGTTTCTGTCGCACAACCAGATGTAAATTCGAGTGAAGCAATAGCAATTCCTAACTACGCCGAAACAGACTAAATGAGTGTCACGGACGAACAATGATTTCAAATAAGATCGAAAAGAGATTGAGAAATTCAATTCCGTAACTAGACGGTGTCGCCATTACATGAAAGTAAATCTTAACCAACCCGGCCGATCGTGGGTACCGGTAGCTTAAGATGGAACGGAGAAGGCCGTTTTTCTCGAAGCGCTGCCGGCCACGGCGGGCCACCCGGGACTCGCAGCACCTGTCATTGCTTTTTCCTTGTTTTCCCCCCGCCCCATTGGCCGGCGGCGGCTGATAGTCCAAATCCCGCGTGGAACTTGCAGAGCGAAGGGCAATAGACTTTGACTTTTCAACGGTGCCTAAAGCCTCGCCCACGCTTTTCCAGTTCTCCTGCGTCACCGCTTGCTTCACCCTCGTTACGTAATCCGCAACCACCCCCCTCGCGAAGGTCAAATGACGTCACTGCTCGGGAAAATCGCGACCGTCCACGCACGACGCCCGCGCTGCGATATGGTCAACCTGACCGACGCGTCGCCTTAAAAGCGTCCCATCCTCGCCAATGTTTTTCAATGGGCACGATAGCCTTCCCCACTATCGACTCCATTTCCTCTTCCTTTTCTGGCGACTCGTCGCGCGCTTCAGGCTCGGACATGGACAGGAGGAGGAAGCGAGAAGACGACGGCGGAGCGAGCGTCGGAAAGAAGCGACCGAAGGGACCGGAGAGTTCTGCCGAGGGAGAGCAGGCGGAGGTGGCGGCGACGGATGAGGAGGTGGAGGAGTTCTTCACCATCCTGAGGAGGATACACGCGGCGGTCAGGTACTTCGAGAAGGGCAAGAGAGGGGAAGGGTCGCGCAGGTTGACGCTCTCCGAGCTGGAGGCTCTTCCGGAGGAGGAGGAGGAGGAGGACGACGACGGAGCTCCGCGGAGGAGCGACGACCCGGGTCTGGATCTTAACTGCGAGCCGTCATCCGAAGCCAACGCCGCTTCCGGTTTGTAGAGCACAGATGAGCAAAACACAATAAATCCTGAGGCTGTTGTAGCGTGGATAGGTGAAGATAATTGAGCTGACCTTAATGGAACTCAAGGGAGACGATGTTACGCAGACTCTACATAGTTACGTGTGTGAAGCCCTTCGAGCATTATTTCTAGGATGTTGTCGGGGAAGTTCTGCTGGGTCTGTCTGTGTTCCTGTAAATTTTCGTACTTACGACTAATGTTGAAATTAAGCCACGAGACATCGTTCTAGAGGATAAGATGAACGGTTGAGATAAGTTTAGGGATACTAATGGTCAATTCCTTTTGAAATTCCAAGGTGCGTATGTAATCCTTCAAGGACGGTTTTGTGTGAACGAAATGTTTATTAGTAAGACATTCGTATTCCTACTACGTATGAAACACAAATTTATGTAACTTTCAACAAGAATAGCTTATGTTATTATGATAACCGAGTGAGGAATAAACATAAGGGTAGATAGATCATCCATCGGTGCTGCCGTTGAAGTCGCCTCCGATTTTTGCGATCCATGTTGTCACCACGATCGCCACACCCACGACCACCACTTTTGCCCGGTGGCCGGCGCGCGCATCTCCTCCATCTCTCAAAGACCCACCAATCCTCATCCCGGCAAATTTAAGTAGCTGATTTGTCTCTTGATGCTGCCGTCAACCTCCACTCGGGGCTTTTTCCGATCAAGGTCGACAGTGACGTCATATAGCGCTCGCAACGAATTAGATTTGGATCCATAAGCCTGAGCGATTGTGTCGGGTCCGAATGGGCGAGAGATGGGAGGGAGAGGGAGAGATATGAGACAAGCAACCCATCTTGCGTGCGCGCGTGCGTAAACGCACAAACAAGCGCATTCACCACGCAGAAAGAGGAGAGAGTGAGAGAGAGAGGATCTAGCTAAGGCGAAGGCACCGACAACCGGTGATTTGCGAGAGTGTTGGGTTGATGAGCTCGTGTCGAGATCTAAATAGAGGGCTTATTTGGAGTCGGGTAGGTTCGAATCAACCCAAATTTTTTTTAAAATTAATTCTCCACGGAGGTGATCAACGAGCGTTTCCGGATTGGGCCTCATTTGTTGTTTAGGGCCCACCCGTGAACAAAAACTTATAGTGATTTTTGGGCTTGGGAGGGCCTGATCCAAGACCAAATCGAATTGATTTGGGCCTGAGCGGGTCAGTACCTTTGCCAGGCTCATGATCCAATCAAATTGGCAGGCTGGAATGGCCCATTGCAATTAGCAGCGATAGGCCCGCAGTACTTGAAGTTTGAGGCAAGCCCGATCCGACTGTTTTCGTCATAGGCCCATAATTTCGATCTCTGTACCACATTCGTCGCCCAAATCTCGAATCTTGGGTCCATTTAGGGGTGACAATTTCTAGCACGACAAGGTCACACAACTCCAACACGATACCGAATTTGCAAGTTTTGAGTTTATAGCTAGTCGCGTTCGTGTTGTGGTCGTGTCGACCCGCTTGACACGGTTATCAAACGGATTGTTTGTGAATTCAACCCGTGTAACCCAAAAATTGACCCGTTTAGCTAAATGTATTGTGTTGACTTGAGTAATGACCTGACTTGTATTCACCTATTAATTTAAAATGAATTGGATTTATCCTTTACCGATGACTATATGATAAGTAAGTATTGGTATAAAATCATCATTATGTGGTATTAGTCTATACTTTTAATTTAATCTTAATAAAACTTGAGTTTTCTCACAAACTAAAGGAGAAAAGTGACACTACAAAAAAAACATGTTTTTTGCGAAGGAAATTTGGTCGTCGCCAGTTCCGTTGCTAATTTGCGACGACTAATTTTCCGTCGCAAAATTCGTCGCAAATTTGCGACGGAAAGTTGGTCGTCGCCAGTTCCGTCACTAATTTGCAACGACTAATTTTCCGTCGCAAATTTGCGACGAATTTTGCGACCGATTGATTTTTCGTCGCAACGAATATTTTATCCGTCGCAAATTGCGACGGATTTTGCGACGAAATTGGATTCGTCGCAAATTTGTACCGGAAAATTAATTTTGTGATATGCACCCCACCCCACCCGTCAATTTCTCTCTCTCTTTCAGTAGTGATTCGTCAGGTCGCCCGCTTTTCGCTCACCTTCTCCTTCTATCATTTCTCTCAATAATCCGTGCGCACAGAAATCAATCTCGGTAAAGCTTTTCCATAGGTAAGTATCGTAGCTAATTAAGTCCGTTTAAACATGCAACTAATATGGTCCTGTCCTTCTGATTCATCGTCAGATGCGAAATTTTTTTTTTATTGACATTATTTTCTGTTTTTGTTGTAAATTAGTCGCCGGTCGCCGACCGGCGACCGGCCACCAATTTGCGACGGACGGTCTTTGTCCGTCGCAAATTTGACATAGACCGTTCGTCGCAAATTTGCGACGGACAAAGACCGTCTGTCACAAATTTGCGACGGACAAAGACTCTCCGTCGCAAATTTGCGACGGACGAAAGGGCGAGGTGCCGGTCGACCTCGCCGCCGTGGCGGCCTCCCCCGGATCTGGGCGAGGCCGACCGGCGTCGACCCATGGCCGGCAAGGCCGCGCGGGGTGGCCATGGCCGCGGGTCGACCTCGCCGTCGCCCGTTGGGCGACGACGAGGTCGACCCGCGGCCCCGGCGAGCTTTGCGGCCTCCCCCGATCCGGGCAAGGCCGAGCGGCCTCGGCCGGGGTCGCTGGGCCGACCTCGCCGTCGCCCACTGGGCGACTGCAAGGTCGACCCGCGGCTATGGCGACCCCGCTCGGCCTTGCCCAGATCAGCCGGGCCGGCTGCCATGGCGAGGCTGAGCGGCCTCGCCGGCGTTAGCCGGTCGCCGGACCGGCGACTGGAGAAAATTATAAGAAATTTTTTTTTAAAAATTCGGAAAAAATAAAAAAATTTTAAAAAATGAATGTTAAGTGATTTTGCTTTTATTTAGGTACGTGTCCAATTGAAGATCTCGCAATCCAAGTGAACTTTGCAATTCTCTTCAAATTGACCACTTTCTGCTACCAAAATTTCAGTCAAATATCTGGGTAAGTCTTCTTTACATGGTAATTTTTTCATATTTTAAAATTTCGTAGTTATTGTTGCGTGAAAAACAAAATTTTAATTTTCATAATTTTTTTTAATTAACAACGGTATATATGATATTTTAAATATTTTACGATATTTTTTTATTTTAATACAGACACAATGCAAAGAAACAGGGCTTGGATGTATAATAAGAACTTACCTGGACGTCAAGGATTGACCGATGAGTTTCGGACTGGGTTGGAACTATTTTTAGACTTTCTAGTAGTAAATATGAGTTCATGGATAGAAATAAGTTAAGGCGTCCGTGTAGAAAGTGCAGTAATGGTAAATTTCATGTGTGTGATACAGTTAGAGAACATCTTTGTAGATTTGGGTTTACTCCGAATTATTATAATTGGACTTGCCATGGTGAACCATTTTATAGCTGATGAAGGATATCGAAGAAGTGACCAATTTTTAGGAGGGGAAGAATGTAGCTATTATGACTAATTGAACCCATACAAGAGGATGGTGATTGATGCAGCTGGTCAGAATTTTGTTTCAGATTCGAACCATGCAAGTACTAGTTTTACTCCTACACATGAACAAGTGGGTACTAGTCATGCATCACAATTGGAAAACATGGGAGTAACGGGTTTGTTGAGAATGTGTGTAATTGAGCTTTTTCATATAATCAATTCTGGGAAGTGTTGAAAGCAGCAGATGAACCTTTATGGCCAGGTTGTGACAACCACACTAAGTTATCTGTGACAGCAAGATTGTTAAATATCAAGGCAGAGCATAATGTGTCGCAAGATTACTTCAACTCTTTTGTTGAAGTAATGCGGGAAACAATGCCTCGTGATAACAGCATGCCAAGTGATTGTTACGATATGAAAAAGTTAGTGGATAACTTAGGTTTTCCGGTTGTAAGGATTGATGTATGTAGTAGGGGTTGTATGTTATATTGGAGAGATGATGAAAATGCAGAATCTTGCAAATTCTGTAGCCAACCTAGGTACAAGATTAACAGGAGGCATGGTCGTAATCAGAAGCGTAGACCATGCAAGCAAATGTTTTATCTGCCCTTAATCCCCAGATTGCAAAGGCTTTATGCGTCTCAAGCCACAGTTGAACACATGACTTGGCACGCAAATCATGAAACAGAAGAGGATCTAATGTGTTATCCTTCAGATGCAGAGGCATGGAAGCATTTTGATAGAACGTACCCTGAGTTTGCGATAGAGCCTTGAAACATCATGTTAGGTCTCTGCTCTGATGGATTTGCCCCATTTGGGAAATCAGGAAAAAGTTATTCATGTTGGCCAGTTATCTTAACGCCGTACAATCTTCCACCTGGTATGTGCATGAAGACACCTTATATGTTTTTGACATTGATCGTGCCTGGCCCGCAAAATCCGAAAAAGTTAATAGATGTTTATATGCAACCATTGATTGAAGAGTTACAACGGCTATGGGAGGAAGGTGTCCTTACATATGATGTTTTTACCGATCAAACATTTGTAATGAAGGCTACTCTTCTTTGGACGATAAATGACTTTCCAGCTTACGGAATGTTATCTGGATGGAGTACAGCTGGGATCTTAGGATGTCCGATATGTTTGGAGAGATCAAAGTCATTTAGATTAAAACATGGAAAGAAGCCCAGCTATTTTGACTGTCACAGACAATTTTTACCGATAAATCATACCTTCATAAGGAATAAAAAAGAGTTCATCAAGAATAGGACTGAAAGAACACGTCCACCATTGAGGTTGACCGGCGAACAAATTTAGGAGCGGGTGCAGGACTTTCCAACTGTTGTTCAGAACCCTCACGGTTCAACTTTTGCGTACAAAAGTAGACATAAGTGGACAAAACACAGTATATTTTGGGTTCTACCGTATTGGAAGGCCCATCTTATTCATCATAATCTTGACGTCATGCACATAGAAAAGAATGTTTTCGACAATGTCAT